GTGTGACAGAGCAAAGGTGACTCTCAAGGAAATCCCAAATATTATGGGTGTTTCGTTAAAGAAACTATATAGTTTTATTTATAAATACTCTTCGAGACAACCAGTAAATTACATAAATAAATAAATAAATATAAATATAAATATAAATATAAATATAAATATAAATATATATATGCGATTGTTTTGAATCATGTTGTAGATAGTAATGAAGGCGAGTAAGAAATTGCTTTCCTTAATTGATGAAAGCAACATTTTTTGTGGGCTATGATATGTGAAAATCAATTGCAGCATCAGGCTTATTTATGTGAATTTGGGAAACACCCCATCATCACTTTTTATGTCATCTTAAGTGTGGGAAGAACTCAGTTATTAGTCTGCGAATCAACCTAAGCAACCATTTGTGACTAAGCTCTATTCCAATATTTAATGATAACTTAGAAGCATACTCGCACTCGGTATTACCGTCTATGAAGTGGCATGTTACCTGATCTACTCAAGCGAATTGATCTTTCTAGCCTGACTCCGAAGATCGACTTCGAAAGTACACATTGAACCCCAAAGAATTTGTTGCAATGCACCATTTTTGGTTACCACTTTTGCTCAAATTAATCCCTCTCTCCTCAATCCTGCCTTGCCAACAGTCGAAAGTGACAGACATTGCCGTCTCTAAATCTACCACCGCCATCGGCCCCTCCATGTTAGCTCCATCAGCCTCGGAAGGTGAGGCTCATTCGCCAGACTTGCTGACCCAGTCATCCACGCTTTTGGTCACTTCACACATCGAGCCCCCGGACCTTTCCTGTACCAAATCTGCCTTTGACTGCCCTTCATCTGCTGGTCAACCGAACTGCGGGCCGCTTCGTCCCAATGGCAACCTCGAGCGGGAGAATTGGCCCAGCTCGGGATGCCTGGGCAGTCTGCACAGCGAGTCTGCCCAAGACGGGGTGCAGAACTCCAAGTCAGTTTTTCACACTTAGCCCTGTGATCTTGGCCTATTCAAGCGACTCTTTATCACTTCTCTTCTCCTTATATTCTATTCAGTCCCAGACAGTCCAGTCGTCAAATCTTTTATCCTCATCAGTTTCTAGATTATCATCATTATATTATGCAACCTAGGGTGAATATAGTTCTTATTCAAGATCCACTGATGGCTCTAAACTACTAAGTACGAATATAAGTAGCGTCGTCGATTGTAATGGCAAAATACAATTTAAACTCATCTGCAATCCCATCATGAATGTGAAATGTGAGATGTCTTAAAATTAGCATCTGTCCCATGGCCGACTGGTACCAATGACAGCGTAGAAAAGTGATAATATATCCAACTTATATACCGAGTGTATTCTGGTTCGAATCCTGTTTGGGGGACTGATGAGATGCAGGTGAGTGACAAGTTTTAGAAACTACCAGTACTTTGTGAAACATAATTGATATAAGAACTGGAATGCTACATGCTAATCGCAATCTAAAGTGCATGAGAATGTTCAGATTATCTTATTTGTCTGTCCAGATTTTTCTTCAAATCACTTAGATTTAGATGAATTTTTCATTTTGTATGAAATACATGATGAATACATTCGTAGGTCAATCTCACCAGAAGACGCCGACTGATTTGGGTTGTACTGCAGCCGTTTGGCATTTAGCTCTATTAAATGCTTGCTATTTGCACAAATTTTAACTTACTTCCTGGCAGTCTTTATATGCTTTTGTCATAATTCTCGGTTTTATATACACTTAGTAACAGACTTGTGCTTCAAACCAATCAGGAGGCCAATTGTCCTCGAGACATCCAAATGTCGACTAGTCTCTGCTTAGACTGTCGGCGACTCTGTGAATTATGATTTTTCTAATAAATGTCATCTTGTCACGCATTTTATCTCTAGACTGGCCCGATCTCGAGCTCTCCTCATCGTCTCATCCGATTTCCAGTCTGATTAGAAGCTTAAACGTGCTGGTTCAGAGACAAAAATGTTGCCTAACAAAATGGTGTGATTTGAGAGAGAGCCTTACACTGCCTTCAAAGCTATGTTTCTTGTGTAACACAATGGGGCTAGGGTGATTGTGCTGGGGAGACAACCAGTTTACCCTTCATCCTGCATATTCAAGGCTCGAATCCGGCTGAGGTAACTGAAGATACCTGTGAAAGGTTGGAAGTGCAGACCATCTTGGCAGGAAAATGCCTTTTGAACGGCATGCTAAAGTAGAATTCAGGAAAAAAAATCATGCACTCTCTCCACTTCTTCCTGGGCAGACTCACAAAGGTTGCATAGGCTGAAGGGGAACAAACACACCTCTCGGAGGGGTAACTAATCTAGAGGTTCATATTTATTTGGTCGCACTGATTAATGAAGTCGTTTTTCATACTTTGTAAATTAAAATAAGACTTCACGGCTCATTGCCTTCATCATTTGTACATAATTTTGCCAACTCAGAGTGGTAGACGCTTTTTAAATGGGACCATGCTTGGTGTCATTGCATCACTAGGCAAGGTAAATAGAGATTTTTTCATTTTCACATAAATGGGCCTGTTTATATGAATTAGAAAGTGGAATAGCGTCCGGTGATTGTACCGGACTGTTTGCCAGACAGGCTTTTAGCCAAACTTGATGTTATCACGTCAGTATAGTACAAATGAGGTAAGTGATGTATCCATCCTGACTAATGGTCATGACGACGAAAGGGTGACTATAAAATTAAGCAAAGAGAAAAATAGCAGCAAATTTAGATAGAATGACGTATCCACATAGTCAGGATGGAGGAACATGCTTAAGTGTTATAATCCCCCGGGCAGTTTCAAGCGTGGCTTAAGTGATTAGGGCAAAGCGCCCTTTCGGTACGATTAGTAATTGATGAGATTTTCACATGTCTTGAACCGCAATAGGGAATTAAAATATTGAGCGTCTTTATCGCACCTAGAGCCGTATTCGTAGGTCGATCGTGCAGATTACTTTGAATTTTCCATGTTACCAAGTGGGTCAAACATATGTGCAACAAAATAAAGGCAGAATTATAACCAATTAATTAATTAATTGACTAGAAGTACCAGAAAGAAAGAAGATTGGGATGCAGCATAAGATGGAGAAGATTCATGATTTAAAGGCTCGCATTGAAGAAAATAGTTTATTCAGTAATAAAATAAATATGACATGTATCTGGCTTAATTCAAAAATCTATATGCAACTTCGTTAAATTTGTAAATAATCGTCAAGGTTTAGAAGCTTTCAAGAACGCATAAAAATTAATATAGCTGAAGGACAAAAAAAATCGGAATTTTTACTACAGAAAGATGAAACCAAAGGGTAAATAATAAAGAATTTGAAAGACCAAATAAGGGATAAGGTATTGGATATATTCTGAAGTAGTATAAATTTTATTATTGATTAACAACAAATTATGGCATAAATTAAAGGTGTGAAACTATTGCATACAACATGACGGACAAAAAGATATGGGGAAAAGTAGAAGACAGTCAAAGGTAGGAACTGCAATTAGTGGGTGGAAAGTGTAGTTTATAAAAAGACAAAGCTGACCATTCGTCCAAGTGACATTTGTAAGCAAAACTTATATGTAGAGTTGAAAAGGAAAATGAAATAACCACATATTCAAAGTATATCTGAATGCATATGTGTCATGTGAATTAGGCTCTTATCAAGCATTATTAGATGCAATGCCATATCAGGTTAGCTGGTACGTCTAGAATCTTTGCCTCAATTAAACGTGTAGAGCCGAAAGGATTGGAAAAAAGGACTGCCGAATTAGGGCCCAGACGATGCCATAGCAAGTGTTGACAAGTCTTGTCTCGGTAAAAATTCTATAAAAATCTAGTGAAA